TATAATTGATGATATTAGAGAATATTATGGGGTTGAAATATCTTACCAGCAAGCATGGCGTGCTAAAGAACGTGCACTCTCCATGATTAGGAGAAAACCATCTGCAGGATATAGACGGATGCCGCGATACATACACATGTTAAAAACTGTGTATCCAGATTCTTATATAAGAATGCATAAGACTGAAGAGGATGAATTTATGTATATGTTCATCGCCTTAAGACCATTCATTAGGGGATTTAAATACTGCAGACCAGTAGTTGTTGTGGATGGTGCACATCTGAGTGGAGCTTACAAAGGGACATTTGTATCAGCAAGCAAACTTGATGGTGCAGGTATTTTTTATTTATAGTAATGATGTCTTTTTATATATTACGTATCAAATAATATAATGTGTGTGTAATCAGGTTGCATATTTTCATTGGCATATGGTGTTGTTGACACCGAAAATAATTGTTCGTGGACATGGTTTTTCGAACAGTTCAAACATGCATTTGGCGATAGAAAAGATATGTGTGTTGTTTCAAATAGAAATGAGAGTATCATGAAGAGTGTTAGGATTGTGTTCCCCGATGTACCTCATTATGCATGCATCTGGCATCTTTGGAAGAATGTATGTGAAAACTTCAAAAGGAGCAAAAAGGCCATAAGTGATCTATTCTACTCTATGGCCAAGGCATATAGAAAAGAAGATTTTGATAAGTTGATGGCTAAGGTTGATAGGATTGATCACAGGGTTAAGGAGTACCTTGAATATGCAGGTTACGAGAAGTGGTCAAGAGTTCATGCAACAGTAAACAGAGGTAGAATGATGACTTCCAACATTGCAGAATGTATCAATGGTTGTCTTGTTGAAGCACACCAATTAACAATATTAGAATTCTTGGAAGAGGTTAGAATTCTTTTTGGATCTTGGCATTGCAAAAACAGAGAAGTAGCCTCATACACAAAGGACACATTGTGTAAAAAATTTGAGGAATTGTTGATTATAAACGCGGCTAAAAGTTCAAAAATGGAGGTATGTATCATTATACAATACTTTATATTATATGTATCTAATCCAGTGTATCATTATGCTTTTTTTAACATGATTTTTTTTTTAAAAGTTATATATTTAAAATTTTTAATGTACACAGGTTGTTCCATCATGTGAGTTTATTTTCTCAGTTTATGAAAATGGAAGAAGATATATTGTTTGTCTTGAGCGGAAAGTATGTTGTTGTGGTAGATTTCAACTAGATGAGATACCTTGTTCACATGCACTCGCTATATTGAAAAAAAAGAATGTCATCGATATGAATCCGTATTGCTCTGATTATTACAAGCCTGATGCGTTGGCAAAAACATATGAAATTCCAATAGTACCAATGCCAGATAAGGAAGATTGGTCAGATCCTAA